CATAGTAAAAACTCCTTATATGTACTCATTCACAAATATTTATTGAGCCTCTACTACATGCAAGGCACTGTGCTAGGAACTAGGATTTTAATGATGAAACAGGCCGATAGCATCCTTCCTTCCATGAAGGCGATGTTCTGTCTGTCAGGGGAGACAGGCATTAAACAGCTTACGGCAAAATACTTAATTTCACTTATGATTTGGATCATTTCGATTTTTATTTGCTCACAGTTTTGTGTCTTTGGGGTTAATACCTAGATTGAAAGGTGCATAGGAATACATTCATCTTTCAGGAGTCGGGGTGTATCCTGCCAAATTGCCCTCTAGAAAGCTTGTAAAGTTATTTCCCACTTGCATTCTACAAACTCCAACATTGGACACTACCATGAAAAAGGAGTCCCAATACAAAAGCACTATGGCATCGTTGTTATTTTAATTTGTATATATTTTATTATGGATATTGAAAATATAAAAATGTATTTCTGATGTGTGTCAGGTTGTGTTTTAAAATATTTGTAAGATATTTTAAATACTTAAGTCAATACTTTTAAAATTCTGTCCTAATACATTTTTTCTATTATTTTTTAAAAAGATTGTAGCATTTTAACAAAATAACTGAGCTAGACACGTTGTTCGACTTAGAGAAACAGTGAGTCCATACCAAGTATGGACTAAGTTTGGAATAATTGAACTGTAGCTTAGTTTCTGCAGAGTCTGTAGTAAATTAAATTTTGCAACAAGTTCCTCATTTTGCTCACCATTGTCTCTAGCATGCTACCCCTCACCTCTGGGTGCTCTTTTCTTTTTACTGAAGTACATTTTTTTTAGTGACTCCTTCTGTGTGGGCTGTAGGTGATACATGTCTTAATCTTTATATGTCTGAAACTGTATCTTTGTTTTGCACTTAATCTTGGATGACAAATAATCTTGAGGTTATTTTCCCTCAATATTTCTTCATCATCTCATGATGTCTATTGTCTTCTGATATCTGTTGTGTGTTGTCTTACGGTCTTTGGTAGATTGCCAATCTTTAGTCTCTGGTAGCTTTTTACCTTTATTATGAGTTATCTGAATCGCACCATGGTCTATTTTTACCTCTCCCACTTTGTATTCATTGAATACTTTAAAATTCGTGTCTTTCTTCAGTTTTATGAAATTGCCAGCACTCACAGCTCAAATATGGCTTCTCTGTCATTCTCTCCATTTCTTTCTTTTGGAATTGCTCAACTCCTCCTTGACTGAACAGTAACATCTCTTTATTTGTCCTCCTTGTTATTTATTTATTTACTTATTTAAAATGGGAGCTCTTCTTAGAGTGATTCTATTTCTTTCTGTCTTTTTTTAAGATTTTTTATTTATTTTACTTTTAGAGCGAGAGGAAGAGAGGGAGAAAGCGAGCGAGAGAAACAGCAATGTACAAGAGATACATCGATCTGCTGCCTTTTGCTCACCCCGCTACTGGAGACCTGGTGTGCAACCCAGGCATGTGCCCTGGCTGGGAATCAAGCCGGCGACCTTTCGGTTTGCAGGCCGGCGCTCAACCCACGGAGCCACACCAGCCAGGGCGTCCTCCTTGTTTTTTAACTATTTTTCATATTTTGAATCTCTGTCTTTGCTGCATTCTGAGTGAGCTACTTGCTACTATATTCTAGTTCACTGATTTTACCTTCTATCATGTCCAATCTAGAGTTTGTTAGGTGTGTTAAAACAGCTATGTAGTTTATTCCCTGGATTTCAAATATTTTTCTTTTGTATTCTTGTTCTTCTTTCATCTCTACCTATTTTTGTCTACTAACTTAGCATTCTCTTGATGGATATTAATCTATCTTTGATTTTTTTAGTATCTTAAGTACATTTATTCAAAACACATTTGATTCCAGTCTTTAAAATGGTTTCTGTGGCTGGTGCAGCCCCACTCAGGTCTCTGGTTCCAGTTGCCCTGGTTGTAAGTGGGGACAGTCGTGGCCATTGTTGCCCTGTGGGAACTGAAATTTCTTCTTACTACTTTTGATTTTCATGGAGAGAGCCCAGCAAGTCTCTAGCACCAAGTGTAACAAAACATATGCTTTGCTCTGTCTTCTGTACCATCTGTATGCTTTCCACTTTCTCCCATTCTTTTTTGTCCTTTGGGTTTATACCTTTATTATGATTGTTGTTGTTGTTATTCCTCTAGTGTCATCTCGATAGATTTTCATGAGGGAGCCAATATAAGCGCATGTGTGTTATCTACTATGTTTAACTGAAAGACTAGGTAGTAGTTTCTATTTGCAACATTTTAATACAAAATGATTAGTAAATTGGTTAAATATTATAGTGTATTAGTAAGACTACCAAGCATTGGCATGCTCTCTGATCTTTATTCATGGCTTATAAACTATAGACCTATAATATTTTATTTTCTCTAGGTTCTGGAGGGGTATAATTTAACTTTTGTTAATTACTATGCTGTTTTTAATTGTTGCTTGCAAATAATCTGTGTGATTTAGAGAATAAGACTCTTTTCAGTATCTAAATCATTTAAGGAATAGCTCCTAAGCCTTGTTCAGGCCTCGCCGCAGATACTACATTTTAGAGCATACACCCGCAAGGCTTTTAGATGATTGTAGACTGCTGATTTACTGAAAGCATGACTGGCCATAAGCTTGTTCTTCTTTGTGAGTATTTATAATCACTTGTTCAGCAAGTTCCCAATCTTCTGAGCACATTTGTCTGAATCAGGGGATAATGAACAAGATGTTAAATGTAATCTCCATCAATCATAGCAAGATACACATATAATTGAAATAACTTTGGTAGAGGTGGCACAAGTTTTTTTTAAATCTCTAGATGGTACAGTGTGTGTACTGAATAGATAAAGTTCCCACCATAGTGTATTTTATATAGTAGACGTTCTACAAATACTTACTGAGTGAATGAATGAATTGTGGGTCGGGGTCCCAATCACAGCCTCTTCACTCCCGCTGTACGTTGCCTTGAATCTGACCTGACTTTCATGACAGTGACATAAGCCCACGTGTGTCCCACTCTGGCTTCCTGGTACTCCAGCCTCATTTCTGCTTTAGGAGGGACCCCGGCAAAAATGGTATGATAGTGCCTTGTCTGTAAAAGTGTAACATTTTTTGTATATGGCTGTCGATTGAAATATTTTCTTTGTGTGGCTATTTTTTTTCTGACTATAAAAATTATTCATATTTTTTGCAAGAAAGTTATACAATTTAGAAAAGAAAGAAAAATAAAAATCACACATGATCCAGAGATAGTTGATTAATATTTTCTATGCTTTCTTGTGATATTTTAATGGCTATATGCATCAAGATTCACTCAGGATAGCAGAAAACACTCTAAGTATTTTAGCAGGAAGGGATTTAATACAGAAAAATCACAGCTTGCACAGTCATTGAAAGATCTGGGGAAGCAAAGTAAAGGAAACTTACTGGCTTTTGGGAAAACAGGAAGTGAAGAATCACAGAACGGAACCGTTGATGATCTCAGCTGCCCACAGCGTGGAAGGAAATGATTTTCAGGAGTGGGTTTAGAAGTGGCTGCAAACATCACTTCGGCAGTTTACCCATGTGTCTGCCTGCTGCTGCCAGGGAAGAATAAGGGCTTCCGCTTCTCTTCTACCTTCCAAATCTTGCATCAGTGCCCTTCATTGGGGGAATCTAAATCAGAACTGTGCTCATAAGGGAGTCTGGGAAATGCAGTTTTGGGGCCTCTGCCCTGATGATATGCGGAGAACGTTGACAAGGAGCAAAAATGCTGTGTCAATTTTGAGTGACCCATTCACATAATTGCTTCCCCTTGTCAGCAGTCTCCCAATACATTTTTCTAAGTCTCTCATCATTAGTTAATTCCCACCTCTTATTCTAGTCAAAATGAACCCCCAGATGTGTTGCTTGAAGTTCTGCCAACTGTGAGGATTCCCTCCTAGAATATCCTTAAACCACTCCCAAGTGGGTTTTCAAGTGTTAACAGTTTTCTAGAAGATGCCAGCCTATTGGGTGTGACTATCTGTAAATCAGGCCTGACCTTTTCTCCTTCAATCCACTTGTGTGGACCAACGAGGCCAAAGGTGTGAGTCGAAGGAAGGCTGGCACAGTAGCAGGACTTGGTGCCATGGGAGTCTGACCTCATCTAATTTACATACGCCTTTACGACCTCCTCAAGCGTGATGCCTAAATATACCCCTTCCCCTCGGAGGTGGGGTGCTGCTCGGTGCCCGCCTGCAGGGCTTGTGTTCTTATGGGCCGCCCAGATTGCATGGTCACTTCCTGTCTCAGAACTGGGCATACTGTTTCCACCAGAGCCCAGTAGCAAGCCAGCAGCTCTTTCTCAAAGCAGGAATGATAGTATCGGAAGAGGGGATGGCTTTGTTCTAAATCCCGCTGGGTGCATTCTGTGACTTTCCTATTAGGTGTAGACAGAGGCTTGTACCCAGCTTATCTGCCACCGATGCTCTGAGTTCCATTGGAACGGCCAAGCTGTAACACCCAAGTGGAAGAGCCGCATTCTTGGCTCCGTGGGCCAGCTGCAGGGCCTTCGCCTGCTCTGGACCCCCTCAGAGCATACAGCCCTGTAGGTGACTTAGTAAAATGCTAAGAGGAGCCCTTTCAATGTGGTAGAAATTGCTTCCAAAATTCAAAGAGGCCCCAAACTTGAAAGGGCCTAGGTGGTTCTGGAGAATGATCGACCACATCTGACACACTCTATAAGCTTTTTGTAATTGGGCTCTCGCTGCATAAATGGTTCTGTAGTCATGAGCACTGTAAAGCCTTTGCCTCTTTCATGGTTACATCCCTAGTCTTGTTAAGGACGTCCCTGTGGTTTAACTTACAAACCATAATGAGGGCAGCTCTCTGAATTCATTTGAACCTCCGTTAAAAAGAATGACTCATATGCAGTTTCTTTGACTACAGTCATGCATATTATAGTATATAAGGAAGTTTTGGCACTTGTTTTTAAACTTTACTGAGAATTAGCTTTGTTGTTTGCCTGGACAGATGTGACGCCAGCATAGCCAGACTCTCTGCAGAGCACAAAACGACCTACGAGGGGCTTCAGCACTTGAACAAGGAACAGCAAGCTGCCAAACTTATCTTGGAAACAAAAATCAAAGACGCAGAGGGACAGGTACGACCCGTTTCAGGTCGCCAGCGAAAAGTGGTCCTTGTTCTGAGCTAAGAATAACGTGGCGCTGACTGTTTCTTACAGGAGAAGTGAGCTAGGGCACCCAGCGTAAGCATCATCTCTTTTCTTTGCTTCTCCCTTCCTTCTACACCACTGGAGTGGCGCCTCCTGAGTGTGGCAACCAAACCACTGAGCTTTTTTGGTACAGTCAAATTTCAAAGGTTCTTTCCTCCCATTCTTAAAACAATGAATATACTCCAGAAATTCTAAATTATAACTCCAAAGCTACCTCTCGCCCATGTAAGTGATCAGCGTCCTTTTACATGCCAGCCTTCCCAACTTTGGGTTCGAGAAAGGTTGCTGTATTCACCGGGATTCATTGTATGTGCTACTTCATCCCATAGTCTGTATGTGGGAAAAAATTAGGACAAAGCTAGAGGATAAGTCAGCTAATGAATTTTTAGAGTATTCCACCTTGGAATTTATAGAATGATTTCACAAAGCAAAATTCTTGGCATTTTACCATGGTTTGTTTATTTGTTTTGTTTTGTTTTTTGCCACTTAAAACTTCCCCTTTGCCAGAATGGACTTTGTAGGACCTTGACCACAGTGTGTGCTCTACTTACTATTCTTCACTTAAAAAGGGACTATTCCAGGAAAGTAGGGCATCTGGTCAACTTATTGGATAAAAAATACCATGTCTTAACTACATCCAATAAGTGTCTAAATCTGCTTATGTGAAAAACACAGGTATCATAAAACCATGAAAAGAAGAATAAATTGACAAGTTTAGTCATTTTTATCAAAGAATGAGTGAAGATAGACCACAAAAATAAATGCTAAGGAAATATTAAGCTTTCTGGTAGCCAAGCCAAGTAAAATGCATGTAGGAATCCATAAAAAGATCTATTTTTTCTTTGTTCTGGATTTGATAAATATGTGTTCCATGAACTTTAAGTAAGGAACGTTGAATACTATAACTGCAGAAAATAAAGATATTTCATAAAGCACTAGTTTTATATTAAATGTTAGCAAAATGATAAGGTGAATGGGTAGGCATGGGAGAAAAGAGTAGGAGGGATGTAGTTTACAAATTATGTTTTCTGGTGACTTGACAATATGGAGTAAGTCTGGGACCTTAATTGGTTTTGTAAGTAGCAAGAATTCCATTCTCTGTGACTAGCAGCTACATTAATGGTAAAAATTTCAGGATAAAAGTGACAATATTTTGTGCCAGCAGGTGGAGATAGTGTTTCTGGACAGACACTGGGCTCACTCATCGCGAACTGTTAGTGCTCAGTGCATAATGACTTTTGATGGGTGCGTATGAAAGAACATGTAAGGGGACAAATAAGGTGAATTCCTAAATGGATGCATTAAATGAGACTGAATCTTCACCTCATTTGTCTAGAATATAGCTTGCTAAATGTTTTCTGACATCATCTCTGAAAAGGTTTGATGTGACATTATAAGCAAAGTCTCTTTTCTAGATTTCTCAGCTTTTGAACAGAGTGGACTTGTCAATATCAGAGCAAAGCACCAAACTGAAGATGTCCCACCGAGACAGCAACCACCAGCTTCAGCTCTTGGATACTAAGTAAGTAATCAACTTATAAACTCTATTTTTTAGTAGGAGTTCTTTATGAACTTATTTAATACTATAATTTTTTTCCTCCTGGTTTTTATTTATTGCATAAACAAAGCGAAAATAATGCTGGAAGTTCAAAGGAAAAGTTTCCCTGAAGCATGCTGTTGCTTCGCCTTCCCAGTTTTTGTTTTTTTTGTGGTTGGATAATAATCCATCTATTCATTCGATAAATACTTCAGCACTGGCCTAGGTGCTGTGGGTCATTAATGTAGAGAAATAGACTCTATTCCTATCCTTGTGAGGTTCATAGTCTAGGGAGTTGATAAGCTTTAATTAAATAATGACTAAAATAAGCATTTGCTATCTTACTACCAATGGTGATGAGTGAAGGCAAGGGACACAACGTGGTAGGCTGAATAATGGTCCCCTCGATATCACCACGTAACCCCCGTGAATATGGCACCTTGCATGACAAAAAGGGACTTTGCCTATGTGGCTACGATTTTAAAAGGGATAAATTATACTGGGTTATTTGGATAAACCCGATGTTACCCTTCAAGTCCCCGTGAGAGGGCGGCAGGAAGGTCTGAGTCAGGAGAGAAGACCACGTGACATGGAAGCAGAGGTGGGAGCGGTGTGCTGGGCAGGCGGGAGGCGGGGCCCCAACCTGTGGAAGCGGAAAAAGGCAAGAAAATGGTTCTCCCCTCGGAGCCCCCAGAAGGTACCACCTCTGCTCACACCTCGGCTTTAGTCCAGTGCAACTGAATTCAGACCTCTGGCCTTCCGAACTAGGAGAAAATAGGTGTGTTGTTTGTGGCCATTGGTCACAGGGGCCACAGGAAGCTCATTCAGTGGTGCCGTGAGAGGGAACATCAGGGGGCCTGGTTGTGGGGCCTTCCTGAGGAGGCCATGCTTGAAGTAAGAGATGAAGAATGAGTGCAATGCACTAGGTAAAGATTGAGGTGAAAACACAGGGGATGGAATAGCCTATCTTGGGAGAAATGCGGTCCTGGAAGGTGTAGGTCACTTGGTTGGAGCGTCATCCTGTGAACTGAAAGGTTGCCAGTTCTGTTCCCGGTCAGGGCACATGCCTGGGTTGTAGGTTCTTTCCCTGTTCAGGGCATAAGAGAGGCAACCAATTGATGCTTTCCTCTTACATTGATGTTTCTCTCCCACATCGATATTTTTCTTCCCCTCTCTCTCTCCCTGCCCCTCCCTAAAATCAATAAGCATGTCTTTGGGTAAGGATTCAGAAAAAAAAGACAACAAAAGAAACTGCAGATGGCAAAATGGCTAGAACAGAGACTGAGGGGAAGTGAGGGCTGGAACAGAAACGCGAAGCTGAAGAGGAGGCAGGCCAGCTTGCAGGGCCTTGTAGACCACAGTCAGGTCTTTCTGTTTCCATCACTAGAGCAGTAAGGAGCCCCTGGAAGATTTTAAGTGGATGAAGTTTATATATTATATATGTAAAATTTTTATCAATGGCCTTGATTGCAGTTGGGAATGAATCGCAAGGGGCTGGAGCAGAGATGGAGACATCAGTTGGGGCACTGTTTCATAATCTAGGTGGGAGAGGTCTGCAGTAGGGTGATTTAGAGCTCTCTAGTCAGTGCCCTATAATTTGTCATACTTCCACATATTCTTATAGTGACCCTTTCCAGGGGTGTCCAACCTTTTGGCGTCTCTGGGCCACAGTGGAAAAAGGAGAGCTGTCTTGGGCTACACATTAAATACATTGCAACATCTAATCACAAAAAAATCTCAGAATGTTTTAAGTAAATTTATAATTTTGTGTTGGGCCACATTGATAGCCATCCCGAGCCACAGGTGATCTGCGGGCCACGGGTTGGACAACCCTGCTAGACCATCCTTGCCCGCAGTGAAACTCACCTGTTGCTCTTCTGCTCAGTCACAAGCCATACACCTTCCCCTATCATGAAGCTTCATGAGCTTGGCATTTTTCTGCCAATGCAGAGCCAGTATTGACTGTACGTGTGTGTACATACATATATGTATATTTGACTTAATATATTTTTTAAAGGTGACTATAGTATGAGACTTTGTTAGAGGCTCGTGCAAAGTTTAAGTTAATCACTCTCCTCGTCCTTACGTCTCATTCCTTCCATGGTTAATGCTATTTCAGTGCTGTTGCCAATTTAACAGGCATTTGCTTGTGAAAACCACCTTTCCTTTCCTCTAATTATCTATATTTGTATAATTATTGAGTTACATCACCATTTCTTGTGGAGCCTACAAGCTGGCCAAGCACAGGAAGAGCTCTCCAATCCTCTTTCTTCAATTGCATAGGAAGAAAATAAACATCTTAGTATTTTTTTCTTCTGTGAATTATTTCCTTAGGAGATATTACTAGTCAGCTGACATGAATGTCTTTATTTTCTTCCTACAATTTGAAGTCTAGAAGTCTACACACAAAGGCTGTTCACAGAGGAAAGGAGACAAAGCTTGGGGCCTATGTGAGATAGAGGGATGTATTGGAGACCCAAAAGGTGAAACCCCAGTTGGATAAACTAGGAGAAATCCCCTTCCACAAAGAGGTTGTAAAGACCCTTAGCTGTCTAAATCTCAGCTCTGAGTAGAGGAGTAAAAGATATTTCTTGAAAACATGGGATCACAACACAACTTTTATATGGATTTAGAACTATAACTCACCTTGCCCAAGTGGTTTGAAGAAAACCTCAGTGGATAATTACCTTAGAATGATCCTGCTGGTAGCGACCTGAAGCAAATGCAAATCCCCAGTGTCCTCAAGTCTTCCCACAGAGAAGTACTAAAGAACATGAATTCACAATCAACTATTGTAAAACAACACAAGGAAAAAAGCCAAACTAAGTGATCAAGTCAGAAGAAATGACAAAAACCAGAATCAGAATTCTGAATACTGCATGTATAGGAATTATAGGATAAAATAAGTATATATGTGTGTATGTATATATGTATATCTGTATATGTATATGTATGCATGCATATCCACATGCATACACACATGCATATTTTAGAAGTATGACTAAGGGATAAGAGATTATCAAAAATGACCCATCAGAATTTAAACAACCAAATAGAACTTCTTCAAAATATAATAATCAAAAATGAAAGCTGTAGCTTCTGACCGCACTGGACGAGGGGGTCTGAACAGTGTCCCCAGGCAGCCTTGGAGTCCAGCCTGTGGCCCCACTGCATCGCTGAGCACAGCCTTTCCCAGGCAGGGAGCCCAGCCAACAACCCTGTCTAAATGCAGAACACGGCCTTCGGCCCTAGACTAGGGAGCCCAGACAGCAACTCCATGGGCCGGACCACAGAGCACAGCTTCCAGCTCCATGAAACTGTGGGGTACAGCTGGTGCCCCCGCCTGACCAGGGAACCTGGCCAGTGACCTCACTCGAGAGTGGAGCGCAACCAGCTGCCTGCTAAATTATGGAGCATAGCCTGAGGCCCTGGCTGATCATGAGTCCTAGCCCATAACCTTGCCTGAATTTGGAGTCCAGCTAGGGGCAGCACCTGGTTCGGGATCACAGTGTGGGCCCCACCTGATCAGGTACAATTGTGGAGCCCAGGCTGCAACCATGCCTGAACTTGGCATCAAGTGAGGGGCAACTTCTGGCCAGAGAACACAGCCTGGGGCTCTGCCTGATCGGGTGCAATTGTAGAGCCCAGCCTGCAGCCCTGCCCAATCATGGAGTCCAACCAGCAGCACCACCGTGCCCGGGACACAGCCTGCAACCCCACCCAACCAGATGTCATTTCAGAGCCCAGTTAGTGGCTCCACAGGACTATGGAGCTCACCCAAGAGCCCTGCCAGGACAGGGTGCCCAGCCAGTGGCCCCTACTACCACAGAGCATGGAAAGGATTTCTGCACAAGGAGAAACCTAACAGACGCATACAGAACATTCCATCTAATAGCAGCAGAATGCACATTCTTCCTGAGCGCACACACAACATTCTCTAGGATAGGTCAAATGTTAGACCACATAAAAAGTCTTAAAAAATTAAAGAAGACTGAAATAAAACCAAGTTTCTCTTCCTCCCTCTTCCTTCCTCTCTCCCTTCCTCCCTTCTTCCCTCCCTCCCTCCCTCTCTCTTCCTTCCTTCCTTCCTTCCTTCCTTCCTTCCTTCCTTCCTTCCTTCCTCCCTTCCTTCCTTTCTTTCTTTCTATAATAGCATCAAATTAGAAATCAATAACAGGAGGAAAAATGGAAATTAAACAACCCATCCGTCAATAATCAATGTGTCAAAGAAGATCAAGAGGGAAATTTTAAAATCTTGAACTAAATAAAAATGGAAACACAAGATACCAAAACTTATATGATGCAGCAAAAGCAGTTCTGTGAGGAAAGTTTGCAATGATAAATGTCTACATTATGAAATAAGAAAGATTTTTAATAAACAACCTAACTTTATACCTCAAGGGATTAGAAAAAGAATAACAAACTAATCTCAAAGATAAAAGAAAAAAAGTTTAAACTAGAATGAAATACTAGATGAAATACCAAATATAAAACAATAGAAAAACTATGAGAAAAATAAGGAAAGCTAATTTTTGGTTTGTTTGAAAGATAAACCAACTAGACAAAACTTTAGTCAGGCTAACCAAGAAAAAAAGAAAGAAGACTCAAATAAAATTGGAAGTGAAAGAGGAGACATTACAGCTGGCACCACAGAAATGCAAAGGATCATAAGAGACTACTCTGAACACTCATGCCAACATATTGGATAACCTAGAAATAATTCGATGAATTTCTGGAAACATACAACTTACCAAGACTGAGTTATGAAGAAATAGAATATCAGAACAGACCAATAATAAGAATATTGAATCAGTAATCAAAAACCTCCTGATAGACAAAAGCCCAGGACGAAATTCATGGTTCATGAATTGGTGAATGTGGGAATTCTACCAAATTTTTAAAGAAGCATTAATGGCAATCATTTTCAAACTCATCCAAAAAATTGAAGAGGAAAGAATACTTCTAATCTCACTTTATGAGGTCAGCATTAGCCTGATGCCAAAACCATATACAGATGCTGCAGGAAAATATCCCTGATGAACATAGATGCAAAAATTCTCAACAAAATACTAGCAACCAAATTCAACAGTACATTAAAAGAATCGTACACCGTAATCAAATGGGATTTATCCTTGGGCTGTAAGGATGGTTCAGTAAATACTAATTGATCAATGCGATATACCACATTAACAGAACGAAGGATAAAAATCATATGACCATCTCCATAGATTCAGAAGAAGCATTTCAACAGCCTTTCATGATAAAGATTCTCAACAAACAGAGTATAGAAGGAGTGTAACTCAATATAATTAAGGCCATGTGTCATAAGTCAACAGCTAACATCATACCCAATGATGAAAATCTGAAAGTTTTTCCTTGGAGACCAGGAACAAGACAAGTGTGCCCTCTCTCACGTCTATCATCATAGTACTGGAAGTCCTAGCCAGAAAAATTAGGCAAGAAAAAGAAACCAAAGACATTCAAATTAAAAAAAGAAAAAAGTAGTATTGTAAAATTATCCCTGTTTGCAGATGACATGATCCTGTGTATAGAAAACTGTCTCAGACTGCACCAAAACTGTTAGAATAAGTGAACTCAGTAAAGCTGCTACATTCTGGGGTCAGTCTTCATGGTTACACAGGGCTGCAGGGTGTGCCCCACCCTCAGGAGGAGCTTCTGGCTTGGCTTCCTGCCTGGGTAAGGCCCAAGAGCTTTGTTTTTAATGACCCAGAAGTTGTATTTTATCATTGCCCAACTTAGTCGTATGACCGCACCTAACTGCAAAGGCGGCTGGGAAATGTAGTCTCTGGCTAGGCACCTGTGTATCCAGTTTACATTTGAGGGTTTCTTAACAGGGAAAAAGAGGCAAACAGATACTGCAGATAATTGGGGTCTTACCACAAGGAGTGTTTATTTTATTATTATGATTTAAGACACGTGTATTCTTTTGTACTTTTATTACATTTCATAATAAAAATAATACAAAAGTTATTAAAGGCAGGCGGCAAGTGTGAAGTGTTATTTTAAGGTATTTGGAAAGGGAAAGGGCTTAGAAGAATGGAGGACCGGGTTATTTTTTTTTCTTTCAATGTCCTTTTTTATTTAATTAGGAAATATCTGTATAGAGGCAGGACTAATTGGGAGAACATTAGAAAGGGAGCCAGGCTCCAATCGGGGAGATAACAGGGAGACTGAGGAAGAGCCCAGGAAAGTAGGGGAGTCTGGAGGAGAACCAGCACAGTGTCTTCTGAGCCAGGAGCACTGGGGGACCCTCTGAACTGCAAAGATTAGCACCTGGTATGGCATGTGTCACTCGGTGACACCTTAAGTGGCCAGAAAGTATTATCAGGTGCTTTTCTGTTATAGCCTCTTCCCTTCCCCCCTTCCCTAAATAGTGCTAAATGCAATTCTAAGAAAAGGTAAGCTCATAATTCTGAGTGAACTCAGTTTAACGCTGACACCTTCGTTCATGAGACATTTGATAGTCAGAGACTAAGGTTGCTTGATGTCATTTTGAAATTGTTTTACATCTAACTTGCTGTCTCCTTTATTTTAGATTTAAAGGTACAATTGAGGAACTCAGTAACCAGATTTTGTCTGCACGGAATTGGTTGCAACAGGAACAAGAACGGATAGAAAAAGACCTTCTACAGAAAATCGATCAGCTTTCCTTGGTTGTTAAGGAAAACAGTGTAGGTATTGATGTTTAGCAATAACATGGTAAAATTAGTTGGTAGGGTCTGCAACGTTTGAGTAATACCTAGTATTTTATCATTGATTTATTTAGCACCGCATGAAGCTGTTTAATTTTGTCTTGCCTTAGAATCCATTTCCTTGGTTCATATTCATTCTTTGTATTTGTCATAAAGAGATGGAGCACTTTGTTTTGGTTAACAAAGGCTAAGTAGAAAATTTTAATATTTTCAGCTAAGATGAATTTAAACGAAGACCTTAATGAAGCAAACTGTCCATCTGCTTTTCTGAACAAAACAAGCAATTATAAACTTCAACCTAGTTTGTTTTAATTTCATGATCTGGTAAAAACATCCTTGGGTAGGATTCTCCCTCCAGGCCTCTCAATCATACTATATAACCATAGTATGAGATATCATGGTGTGACATGTAAAGAGAACTCACTGGTTTCTTTTCCAGCTTCCTTCTCCTTTTACCCCACTCTCCCACGGGACTGAGATTTGCAGGACTTCTCAGAAATGATATTGAGAGAGCCTTGCCTATATAGTATTCAAAATCAGTAGACTTTGAAACCAGTAGTTGGCAGGCAACATTTTTCTTTGGTTATTTAGCCTGACCATCTCCCTCTCCCTTCCTTTTTCTGGCACTTCTTCCTCCTGTTGGACTTTGATGGAGCAGAAGTGACTGGTGTAGTTTGAACCTCTGGCTCTGCTCTCTCAGTGCCCAGCTGTTGAGCTGCAGACTCTGAACCGAACAGCATTGTGAGAGCTTTGTCATGCCATAGCCCACTTACAGCTTGGAGTTTATGGTCCTGGCCTCCAGAGCTCACCTGCAGACACATTCCCATACAAATGAAGCATAGTGAAATGGCGAAGAGAAGAGAAGGAAATGTTTACTGTATCAAATATTTCTTAGGTATCCTTCACATTTTTATCAGATCTACTGATTGATTTACTTAGATTTATGCTAACACATTTGTAGGCTTCTGGATCTTTGGATCACTTTTATTTTTACATGTGGATTGGCCTAATAACTAACACTAACCCCAGGATAATAGTGGCTTTAGTAAGATAAAAGCTTATTTCTCTTTCACATAGAAGATGTCTGGGTATAGAAATGGTAGGGCTGTTGCAGTAGCTTGTCAGTCCTCAGAGACCCAGGATCCTTCTAGCTTAATTGCCAATCCTAGAGAGTAACATATGTCCTCATAGTTCAAGGAGGTTGCCAGAGCTCCAGTCATTATGTCTGAATTCCAGGAAAAGAAAAAAGAAAGGGTAAAGATATGCCTCAGCCGTCTTTTAACTTTTTTTAGGAGATGCCACATACACTTGAACTTGCATCTCATTGGCCACAACTTAATCACATGGCTACCCCAAACTCAGGAGACAGTAGAAAATTTCATCTTTATTCTGGGTGACCTTATACCCAGCTGTAAATCGGAGGTCTATAAAGGAAGAAAAGGATCATGGATATTAGGGTGACCAATGAGCAACCTCTGCAATTCTGTTCCCTACAGGCTATTATTAAATGGCATTCTAGCTGATGCAAATGCCACTCAGGCTTTCTTTTTGGAGTAATCAAGTGCAATTCTTGTCATGGATCTCAGGGAGCCAGTGAACGGGATGTGGAGAGGAAGCTCAGCCAGATGTCCGCCAGACTTGACAAAATAGAAGAGAGTCAAAAGAAGCACATGGACATTCAGAGAACAAAACAAGAAGAGGAGAAGCTGCACGGGCGCATCACCAAGCTGGAGTTACAGATGAGCGCGGGCCTGAAGGGCATGAAGGCGGACGTCGACGCGGGTAGGCCAAAGCGAACACAACTCTCCTGGTTTATTCTCTGTTTCGTCTAAAAACCAGCTAATTACTGTATTTTGCCATGTATAATGTGCACTTTTTCGCCCAAATTTTTGAGGGAAAAATAAAGATGTGCATTATACATGGTCAGTGCCTGAAATACCTTATCTCTGTTCTTACGTTTTGTAATTATTTTACATAAAATTTCTTGAACCATAATATATTCAAAAATAAATGCTAAAATTCCTTTATAATACAAAAAACAAATACCTAAATATGAATAAATAAATAATTGAATTAAAAATTAAAACACTCTTTTTTTCCTGAAAGTTTGGGCCAACAGTGTGGATGTGCGCTATACATGGCGAAATATGGTAGTATTCCCCTACATTCCCATGAACCTGGTAATGGTGATAACAGAGAAATGTCCTTGGGTGCTTCTCTACATAGCTATGCCGTGTTGACTAAAACATTGTTTTCATTCCAAGTACTCAAAGAGCCACCATAAGGGATAAACAAACTAAATGAAAATTGCTTAGCTTGCAGTTGATGTGCACTTTCTTTAGTGCTGTCCACAGATTCTTTTCTATTCAAGGTCAATATGTCTCAGAGATAAGCACATATCTTTGAGGGGCTTTTGAAGGCTTTATTTTATACCGCTGACATTATACCACTGTGGAAATGAATTGTTTTCCTCTACTCAAAAGTCAACAGGGCCCACTAATTCACACTTGGTTAGAAGAAAATGTTAGAGAGAGCTGATTTCAATTTCTGAAGTGTTGTCATAAAAGGAGGGGTTAGATTTACATGTTGAGTGAGAAATAGAGAATTGGAACTCGTAAGTGGAAGTTACCTGAAGGCAGCTTTTAACTCAATATGAGGCAGAAGTATAGCAGGTCCTCGAATAAGGTTCAACATTCAACTTCATTTTGTTAAAACTCTTGTTTATGTCAATTAGCCTATGGTAAAATCAGTCTTGTTATTGTCATTTTGCTTAAAGTCACAGGACTTATTGTTAAGTGAGGACTTACTATATCCTCCATTAACCAATCCTAAAAAAATACTGGTGAATTTGTGAGATTGAGGGCTCTTTGTCGCTGAGACTATTCATGTGGAAGTTGGTTGACCATGGTCAGGAAAGAGAGAACAGTCTTGTAGTGTAAGAAGGAGGGCTAAAGTGTCTCCCAGCTCCTCCCAGTTCCATGACTCCATCGTTTTTTTCTATGGAATTGTTGTCCTTTAACCCACGGAGATAAAAGTACTCAGTTATCCCAAGAATAATTTTGTTGTTACCACCAAAGTCTATTATTTTATTTAAGTGGAAGCCACAATTAAATTTATGAATTGAGGGACTTGTAAAGATAAAAACGAATTTTCTTTCTTCGTCTTTGTGCTATTAGAATTTGGCATTTGAATTTTTCATCTGTGTTTAACTTTGCATCATTTCCTGAATGAATTTATTATCATTTAATCAACATACCATTGAGGTTTTAAATATTTAGTACCTAACAAGAAATGCAGATGAACCTTTCTAAAATTAAAAATATTTATTTTTTTCTTACAAATTAAAACATTCCTTAATTGGAAATCATAAACCACACATTTTTAAGAGATTTTATTTATTTATTTTTAGAGAGGAGAAGGGAGGAAGAAAGAGAGAGAGGGAAAGAAACACCAATGTGTGGTTGTATTTTGCGCACCTCTGCTGGGGACTTGGCCCACAACCCAGGCATGTGCCCAACACTGGGAATCAAACTGGTGACACAGGCTGGCGCTCAACCCACTGAGCAACACCAGCTGGTGCGCACAAAATATTTTTTAAAACACTCATACCTTCTTTAATCCAGAGGTCATTTTTATGAATATCTTTCTATACATATAGAATTTACATGTATGTGTTTTTTCAAGTGACAGCTCATGCTATGCATGCTGATTTATAACCTAGTCTTATTTAGTAATATGTGGCATCTTTCCATTCAACAAGAACAGTATTTTTAGTAAGTAAAGTTTATACCTGTTTTTCCACATAACGCCACATAAAGAAAATTTCTTGAGAGAAAAATCTAATTGTACTAATGAAGATAAGACCTTTCAAATATTTATTTTAAAAACCAATAGGAATACCTGGCCAAGATGGAGGCGTAGGTAGGTATACTTTGCCTCCTTGCACAACCAAAAGAAGGAAAACAAGAATTAAAAAAAAAAACAAAACTGAACTGGCAAAAAAATGAACTGTATGGAAGTCCAACAACCAGGGAGCTAAAGAAGAAACATTCATCTAGACCAATAGGAGGGGCGGAGATGGACAGCAGGGGCGGCAAGGACACCCAGCAAGGTGGCGACTGGAGGACCAGGTGAGGCGGTGGTTGGCGGACCAGTGGTCCCACAACAGACCATGCAACCCAGGGTTCCAGTGCTGGAAAAGAAAACCTCAAAACCTCTGGCTGTAAAAATCTGTGGGGGTGTGATGGTGGGAGAAACTCCCAGCCTCACACGAGAGTCCGTTAGAGAGACCCACAGGGTCCTCGAACATACGCAAACCCACCCACCTGGGAATCAGCACCAGAAGGGCCCAATTTGCTTGTGGGTAGCGGGGGGAGTGACTGAAAGCTGACTGAGAACCAAGCAAACCAGCGTTTTTCTCTCTCAGACCCCTCCCCGACACACAGCGTCACAACGCAGGACCTGGGTTGCCCCGCCCTGGTGAACACCTAAGGCTCCGCCCTTTCCAATAGTAGGCACAGAGACAAAGAAATATGACCCAAAAGAAAGAATAGATCTAAGCTCCAAAAATAGAACTAAGCAAGGAAGAGATGGCCAACCTATCAGATGCTCACTGAATTGGCTGAGTATGTTCGCAAAATGGAGGAAAAAGTTAAGGCTACACAAAGTGAAATAAAGAAAAATATACAGGGAACCAACAGTAAAGGTGAAGAAACCAGGACTCAAATCAATGATTGGAAGCAGAAGGAAGAGATAAACATTCAACCAGAAGAGAATGAAGAAACAAGAATTCAAAAAAATGAGGAGAGGCTCAGGAACTTCTGGTACAACTTTAAATGTTCCAGCATCCGAATCATAGGAGTGCCAGAAGGAGGAAAGGAAGAGCAAGAAATTTAAACCTTATCTGAAAAAATAATGAAGAAGAACTTCCCTAATCTGGTGAAAGAAATAGACTTCCAGGAGATCCGGGAAGTTCAGAGAGGCCCAAAGAAGATGGACCCAAGGAAGCACACACCAAAGCACATCATAATTACATTACCCAAGATTAAAGGTAAGGAGAGAATCTTAAAAGCAGGAAGAGAAAAGGACACAATTACCTACAAAGGAGTTCCCCTAAGACTATCAGCTGATTTCTCAAAAGAAACCTTGCAGGCAAGAAGGGGCTGGCCAGAAGTATTCAAAGACAAGGACCTACATCCAAGATTATTCTATCCAGCAAAGCTATCATTTAGAATGGAAGGGCAGATAAAGTGCTTCCTAGACAAGGTAAAGCTAAAGAAGTTCATCATCACCAAGCCCTTATTATATGAAATGTTAAAGGGACTTATCTAAGGAAAAGAAGAAGATCAAAAACTGTGAACAGTAAAATGACAACAAACTCACAACTATCAACAACTGAACCTAAAAAAACAAAAACAAAAACAAACTAAGCAAACAACTAGAACAGGAACAGAATCGTAGAAATGGAGAGCAGAGGGGAGTGCGAGGAGGAAGAATAGGGGAAAAGGTACAGGGAATAAGCAGCATAAATAGTAGGGACAAAAATAGACGGGGGGGGGTGGGGGGTTAAGAATAGTAAGGGAAATGGAGAAGCCAAAGAACTTACATGCACGACCCATGGATATGAACTAAAGGAGCGGGGTAATGCTGGGGGGAGGGGTGGTGCAGGGTGGAGGGGAATAAAGGGGGAGGAAAAAAATGGGACAACTGTAATAACATAATCAATAAAATATATAAATAAAAATGGTAATAAAAAAATAAACTTTAAAAATCCAATAGGAATACTGAATAGTTTGGAATTCTCTTTTGATGGGGAATTTTTTTCACTTTCTTTTTATTTTGAAATAATGTCAAATTTAGAAAAACTATAAGAACAGTTCAAAAACTCTATATGCCTTTCATCTAGATTAACCAATTGATAATATTTTGGAAATTTGCTTAATCTCTTTCTCTGTGTGTGTGTGTTTATGTCTGTCTGAATGTAATTTTTTTCTAAATCATTTGAGAGTACACTGCAAAGTTGTAATACCTTTTTACCCCTTTATCATTTCAAGCTATATACCCTACAAACAAGGACATTCTTTTGAATAACTATATTATTATTTTAAATAACTATATTCTTTTAAAATAAGTACAGTGTAATATTGATAAAATGTTTTTCAATATTCAATTTTCAACTTTCACCATTGTGTTCTTTATAGCAAACCTTCCCTGGCCTAGGTTCTAATCCAGAATCACACACCATATATTTAGTTATCATGCTTTTTTATTTAGTCTCTTAATATGGATCAATTCCTCGGTGATGTTGACATCATTAAAGGATACAGTTCAGGATTTTATGGAATGTCCCCACAGTTTGGATCTGTCTGCTTCCTCTCAATTAGGTTCAGGTTATAGGTTTTGGACAGAAATGTCACAAAAGTAGCGTTTCCTTCCCTGGGTACCTTACCAGGGGTATATGATGTTGGTTTCTCCCAGTGTTGGTGAAGTTGGCTTTGATCACTTGATTAAAGTGTAACTGCCAGATTTCTCCATTGTAATAGTTCCTTTCTCCGTTTATAATTAAAAAATAACCTGTAGGGAGATACTATGAAACTATGTAACTATCCTGTTTCCCATCAAATTTTTACTCCAGTAGCTTTAGCATCTATTGATAATTTTTGCCCAAATCAATTGTGACTATCTGCTTAGTCATATATGTAGAATTTGTTAGAACATTGCTTTTTAAAAAATATTAACTCGTGAAATTTACCTCTTAAAGGGTTTACAGCCATTTATGAAAGCATAGGATCCCTCAGGCAAGTTCTTGAAGCCAAGATGAAACTGGACAAGGATCAGCTACAGAAGCAAATCCAACAGATGCAGAAGCCGGAAGCTCCCATGTGATGGGAGTTGGGACAAGGGCCTCAATGGCGGGTTTGCCAGTTGGTGTGGGAGTTACCCACTTCCGTAGCCAGGTTGTTGTGGTATTTGGAACTGTTCTATTCATGCGTGCATGTGCCAAGAAATGTGTTTTCATGGGTCTAAATGTTTACCTTGAGTCTTGAAAACACTCTATCTTTAAAAGTATTAAATATAATTTTTACTTTATTCCACTCCTCCAAATTCAGTGGGATATCCTCCCCTAACTCCCTGATTTAGAAAGGCTTTTATTCCCTTCATTTTATGAATGAAAAGACTTAATTTTCCTCCAATGCTTGATGCTCTAGCCAAGACCTTACTATTTAGAAAATGTCATGGTGATTTTTTAAATTAAGAAACTAATGAATTGTCACAGAAATGTATTGCTCCTCCCCCTAAATTAAGAGAATGTCCTGATGGATTAGAATTCAACCTTTGAGTCAATAGTTGGATTTTTATTATTGTTGTCTGTACCTTTCTTATATTGGTTATCTTATAAATCTTCTGTCTTTTGTAGGGGGAAGGGACTTAACATTTGGGAACACCTCATCACTTATATAATGAAAATAGTTTAAAAATTGATAACTGCCATATAGATTGAAAATTAAAAGGGAAACTTAAGACAATTATCTAGATAATGCAAGGCACAATATCTCCACTGACCACCTAGTTATACCAGGTTTTAATATTGAAAACTTTTTTCAATTATTCACAGCCTGTATAGTGATAGCCATATATTTAATAATGAAATGGTGGTTAATAATCTGTTTATTGCACAATTAATTGTCCATTAATCATAATAGGATGTGAGAATTTTTCAGGCTTTATGATCTCCTCTCTAAATGTTTCCAAAATTGGCACAAAGTGCTAAAGTTTATATATACTTACTGTATTCTTGTGCCTTGGTTTTATCACGTCAATGCACTATACCCTACAAAAGTTTTGTGAACACAATAGAAGGCATGATAATACTATATCGGAATTATGATGTAAAAATGGGATCCTATGTATTTTTTAAATTCTAAATTTTATCACAGTTAAAACATTAACCATTCAATATATTAATGAAACAGAAATTCATACTTTTGTATGGATGGAGAATCGAATTGATATTCCATTTATAACACTGTCAAGAAGCTTTCATTTTGAGCAGCTTTGTAGATGACGGGTGTTTTATTTTCAGTCGCCATGTGGGACTAGTCATTGAATATCGGCTCCAGTGCTGTCTGTTCACCTGTGTATGTAAAAACTGGTAATAAGACACACACCGTTCTAAACTGTGAGGGTGCCCAGGAGAAAGAAAACAGGAACACTTTTAAAATATTAAAAACTTTTTTTTTGTTTGCTGAGGACTCAGGAAAAATCAAAGTGTTTTCTATTTTTTAGGATAAATTATAAATGAAATAATCTCACTGGCTATTACTGTTTACCCATATAAAATATGCTGCTAAAGTGCATAATATTTTACCCTCAATGGCTTGACAAAAAAAAAATTTTTTTTTTAATTTGGACCTGAGAAGTCATATGAGGAATATGTCATCCTTATTTCCTTATTTTGTCACAAATCTTTGCATTTCAATGTCAAAAGACTATTTCCACTCAACAATGAAAAAAATGGTTAATGCTCTTTTGCAATCAGAAAGTGAATTTCTTTTTGTGACAGAGTAGCCATGTTTGGTTCAGTTCTCTAAGTCTTAAGCACAAGCCACAGCACAGAGAGCCGGGGCCCCTCCAGCATCTCTCTCCTCGGGGGTCTCTGCAGTGGAAGCATCAGCACCTGGGAGAGGGAGACAGAGGGGACCAACTGGAGACAGGAGAGGGGGTGGTGACGCTTGGCTGTCTGCTGAGTTGCTCAGGTGCTTCTGATGCTGTCAACTCCGTGTCACGAGCTCTGGCTATATATTGCTGTCACCTGGGGAGTCCACAAAGCTACTGGTGCCTGGCCTGGCCCCCTACCCACTAAGTCAGAACCTCTGGGAGGTGGCACGCAGGCCTCAGTAGTATCAAAGGCCCAGTGGTGATTCACACGCTGGGGAAGTTGTGAGCTTACTCTTATCACCAAAGTCTAAATGAGAATCAGCTTCCGTGTTCTTTCCTTTACCAGAAATTTGTAATAAAAAGCATAAAATTTCCAAAGACTGTGGTGTATGATTTTTAAACGTCTTTTAGTGGGAGGTAAAAATTATGCCCTAGGAAGCGCTTCTACCTTTCTGTGGACACCCTGTGGTGGTGGAAATAAAGTGCTCTAGTCCTGGCAGAACTGCTGGGAACTGGAAAGTGATGGGGAGGGAGCAGCTCCGTCTGTGAGCAGCAGCGTGATGGAGGGGCCGTGTGGTGTGGCAGGGACCTGAGGCCCTTAATCCAATAGCCTGAGGTGAACTGACACAGATAGTCATACACCTCTGCTCATGATGACTTCATTTACAACGGCCAGAAGTCCCATTTGGGAAGCAACCCAAATGTCCACTGATGGAAGAATGGATAAGCAAATGTAGTATGTACATACAATGGAATACTATCCAGCCACAAAAGGGAAGGAAATTCTTAAACATGATACACACACACACACACACACACACACACACACACACATATATATGGCATGAACTATTATGCTAAGTAAAATAAGCTGATCACCAAAAGACACATAAGTACAATTTTGCTTGTATGACATACCTAAAATAGTCAAATTCAGAGAGACAGAGAGGGACTGGGGTGGGGCAGAGGAGCTACTGTTTAATGGGTGTAGTTTCAGTTGGGAGGATGAAAACTTTCTGGTCATGGTGGCATAACTATGTGAGTGTACCTAATGCCACCAAACTGTACACTTAAAAACAATTAAATGGGTAAATTTTACGTTTATATTACCACCACAAAAAGAAGGAAGAGGAGGAGGAGGAAGAGGAGAAAAGAAAAAGAATGGGGGCGGGGGAGGAGGAATGGATCCCCAACCCCTGAGTCAAACTTGTATTGGGGCTGCAGCCCTGGTGGCTTTACTGTAACCTCACGAGAGAGATACGTGGGGCCAGAGGCACCCAGCTCAGCCACGCCCACATCTGATCCACAGGAACTGAGATAATGACTATGTATTGCTTTAAGGCACTACATTTTGGGTTTGTTTGTTATATATGCAGCATTAGAAAACTAATACCCTGGCACTGAGGAATCTTGGCAGAATCGCTTTGTGGAGATGCCTATTTCTTGTGCTGCAGATGGACATGTTCATATATATAATATCATTTAATATACATATTTCCACAGCAGAAAATGATCTAGAATGTATGCCGAAGGGGCCCTGGGCGAGGGGCGTGCGGGGGAAGGCGAGGTGAGAGGAAGGCAGCGGTGAGAGGGAAGAGCTGAGCAAGGGCGACTGAGAACTTCCCGGGCTTGGCGGGATCAGATGGGTGTGAGTGGATTTTTCCTTCTCAAGGTTTTCGTAGGAGGACGGAGAATTCTATCTCAAAGGAACCCGGGCCCCTGAGAGTCATAAGTCGGGGTGAGGGGGAGGCAGAGAGGAAGTCCAGAAGTCAGATTTCACCTACTGGGCACACCGGCCGTGACTGCCCTGGCATAGTGCCCCCTTAGCCAAGGCTGAGGAGATCTCATGACTGGGTCACCAAAGACAAACCAAACAAACCCCTTAAAGATCTGCCCCAGAGGGATGGGACATAACAAAGACCTGGGGGCCAAGGACAAAATAATGATACGAGCATCTAGAAGGGACAGTTACTGTAGTGCAGAGTCTCTCTCCCTTGGCGCTCTCCCTTGGAGTCTCTCTCCGCGAGGGCCGTCTTGGACACTGCGGAGTGCTGAGCAGCATCCCTGGCCCACCCACTCAGTGCAAGGTGCATCCCTTAAGTGTGACCATGTGGCAATGTAAGTTATTGTTGGATAAAAGAACCACATCATGTGTGGCACATACTAGGTCCTCGTTAAATTTCTGTTGCATGACTAAATAATGATTGATGCATCAAGAAATGTAAAAATAATGCACACCAAATGGCATATATACCTTACCACATTTGGTCTTTGTTATTACCCTGTTTGGTATGACCTATTATTTCCATTTTGTGATGGAGCAGATTATGGATGGTCATGAAGCTAATTAATGAAGGAGCAGGGATTTGAATACATATGTCTCCAAAACCCAGGCTGTCACATTGCTTCAATATAAGCCAACGCCCAAGACGTCGTGAGTGATTTGTTCAATATCCCACAGCTGTTTAGAATCAGAATACTGTCTGGATCATTGGCTATCAGTGTCCACAGCCCAGCAGCGTCAGCATCACCTGGGAAGTAGTTAGAATGCGAACTCTCAGATCCCACCCCAGACCTACTGAGCCAGAAACTGGGATGGGCTCAGCAATCTGCCTTAGCACATCCTGCGCATGGCTCTAATGCAAGTTAAAAATTTAAGAATCACTGATCTAGAGCTGCATTGTAATACAGTAGCCATTAGTCACATGTGGCCGCTTACATTTAAATAGAAATTAACCTGAATTAAGTAAATTTAAAAATTTAACCCTCAGTTTCTTACCCACCTTTGAAATACTCAATAGCCCCAAGTGGTTAGTGGCTACATGTGTACAAATGTAGAACTTTTCTATTATCACAGAAAGTTCCATTGGACAGCTCTGGCCAAGAACAGTAATGTCCTCACCCTTTTAATTTGTCCAAACCCTGGACTTTCATTTGTCATCCTAGAAGGAGTTTTGGACATCCAGCCTCATCTCCACAATGTTATGCCAATTATCCCTATTACAGATGATTTCCCAGGTCTTTTTAAAAAATTTTTTTAGCCCTGGCTGGTGTGGCTCAGTGGATTGAGAGCCAACCTGTGAACCAAAAGGTCGCCGGTTCAATATCCAGTCAGGGCACATGCCTGCATTGCAGGCCAGGTCCCTGGATGGGGGCATGTGAGAGGCAACCAATTGATGTATCCCTCACGCACTGATGTTTCTTTACCTTTCTTTTGCCCTCCCTTC